GAAAGAAGTAATGGGGTTGTTTTATGCCAAAGCTAGAATCTATCCTGAATTTAAATTGGAAAAATGAGAAAAGAACTTTTACCCATCTGAAAAAGGATTTTAGGAATAAAGGCTAGAAAAGAGATGGAAAAGCAAAGAAAAATGTAAGAGATAAAGTTCTAAAGTGGGAATTGACAAAAGTAATTCTGTGTTAGTTATAGGCAATTGGTTTTTAAAGCTTCTTTGATCATGTAAGTGAAGAGTAGAAGACCACTGAGTGATAAAGTTGAGGTAAAATAACCTTGGCAGCATTATGCATATGATCTGTTGCAGTTTGGAGGAGGCTATTGCGGTGGGTAGATTTAATATTGGATGCTTAAACTTATACCACAAAGAAATACATTTTGTCTCTTAATTGTTTTTTAAGAGTTGGGAAACCTCTGTGTGTTACATCTAAGCCACTGCTCTTGCTGCTTATCATTAGGCAGTTCCAATATCAGAAGACTGTTAAAGAAATCCCTGAACAGACAGGTACATACATTTGCTCATAGAGGATGTGGGCTAACTTTTATTTCACATTCTATTTACTATTGTATCTCTTGCTTCTATAACATACAGACACCTGTAACTATTAAACTGCCATATTTCTCAGTCCAGGTATAGAGTATGTGTGCTCTGTGTGTGATTGATTGATTTATAGATCCGTATTGATATATATGTTTGATGTATATACCTAGGCAAGTTCTGAGTTGTGTCAGGGAAAGATTGGACCATCCTCCCACTCACCCAGACATTGCATGCTGGCTTCGTGGGAAGTGCTCTGGGAAGTGCCTGTTGTTACAGGGAAGCATAGCTGCACCCAGATTCATGTCGGAATCATGCTAGACATCATCTTGAAAAACCTCTTCTCTTGGTGACCCAGCATGTAGTGCTCTTAGCTGCAGGCAGGAGCCCTTATCATGGACCAAGTCTCCTATGTGCTGGAAAGCTGGGCTGAACTGAAGTAAGCAAGGAAGTAAGCTAAACTGAAGTAAGAAAAGAAAATTGGGTGTACTTTAGTAATGCTTACGTTTAGTTCTTTTACTTAGGCTTAGAATGTTTTAGAAGATACATTTTATAAATTAAGGATTTAGTCCAGATGAGGGTAGAATGACCTTCCTTGGACATCTAAGGAAATGATTAAAGGTTAGAACTTACAGAAGCTGTGAATATTTCTTTCTAGCTAGAGCAGACTGGGGTCAAAGATCCAACAGCTAGACCTGATACATGGCTCAGTGTTTGCCTGGATTAAGTAACTGCAGACTGCTAGCAATTTAGGCTAGGTCACACTGGCTTAGAGGGGGCATAACAAAGTGAATGCATTTGCAAGCTGGTTGTCTGTATAGTATTTAGGGTTACATAGTAACAGAAGGGTTCTTCCCAGGCATGCTGTTCCTGTGGCATTGAACTGATGTCCAGTCAGGCTCCCACGCGCAGGTGGGATTCTTTAAGTTTATAAAAATATAATAACTCGCTCTGTCACATATTTATTACATTATTTGAACTTTTTTGCTCTAATATTACGTGATTCATATTTTTAATAAAGTTCTTTTAAGGCCAGATCTTTGCAATACTTTTATCTCCCTAAAGCTGGTTCCTTGAATTCTCATGTCAGAAGGCGAAATGAAGAATGAGTATAGGTTTCAATTCTACCAAATAAATTTTATGGTAAATTAAACTTTATGTAGCATTTAAAATCAACAAGAGCTAACAGTTACATCAGTGGTATTTTATTATGTTTGTATGTATGCACGGATTACAGGAACTGGAGTGTGTTTAGGGTTTGGCTAACAATTCAGCAAAGAGAAAGAGCTTTTCAAGTTAATTTTCTGAAAATCTGGGATCAGCCACATTAAAAAATGTAAAAAATGTTTTCCTTCAGCAGCTCAGGTTAGATTTGGGTTACATTAGATTACATTAGCTTAGATTTAGATACAAGAATGACATCTTGTTCCCAGGAGACTGTCTAAAATAGTGTTTGATTATTTTAATACCCTTCAAGGTCTGCAGATAATGCTCATTATATTTTTTTTCTTTTGCTGCAGAAGTAAACCACTAATTATGTGCAAATGACTCCAGCTTCCTCCTGTAATGCTTTGAAGCACTAAATGTAGTTGTTGCTTTGTTTCTGTGATCTGAAACACTTGATTGCCTTCCAAAGGTATTTTTACACTTGTGTGTAAGAAGCGTAAATATTTTTATATAAAAATATTTTTTTATCAACATCATCTTATCAGGCTTTTGTAGCTGCTGACCTTGAGATTTCAGTAAGTCTGTTAGAGGTATAATTTCAGTATAAATTTAATTACTGTTTTCTAGTCTTTGTATTTCTGGCTTTCATTAGTTTGTTACATAGTTTCTCTTTGTAGTTGTTAGTTTTATTCAAATCTACTGCTTTGGGTCAGTCAGGTAAATGGATAGCAAAAGCTTTGAAATTATTTTTTCAGGGTGAATGCAGGGTTTGTAGAATGAGAAAAGAATCTGAGATTTTTTTTTTTCTTCTGCTATAGATATTTTCCCTGTGATTATGCATTTTTTCAGTCACTTCCACTCATTTCTCGCTGGTAAACCATACACTGTTCTACATCAGTGATGATCATAGACAGCACTTCAAAAGCGAAGAAAAGAAGTAATAGGAATAGGAGAAATAAAGAAAGTTAGTATGAGCAGTGTGTCTTACTATTACTTTTAAAAATCAAATCAGTCAAATTGTCTTGCTAGCCCAAAACCCCAAAGTGGATTTTTGGAGGTGAGGGGAAGGTGTCCCAGGAATATACATATGATTTTTCAAAGCAATTTTGTCACGACAGAAATTTCACACCAGACCCTAACACTTATTTTAAACCATTGAAGAATTGAAAAATCATGCCCTCTGTTTTCTTTCCTGCCTTCTCACCTCTTTCAGAAAGTTTTTCCCTGATGTATTTGCTCTTTATCACAGTGGTATTGAAGCATGTTGCTAAGCATGGGTAAGAGAACAATATTCCCACTATCTTCCTTGCTTTTCATGTGCCCGTGTTTTTCTTCTGTGTGTTGCTTGCATCTTAGCTTTCACTGCTATTGTTCTTGACAACACATTTCTTTTTGGGGGAGATGATGTTACTAAAATGAAGGCCTTTGCAAATAGGTTTCAAGCATCTAGCTCCACTACATCGAACTGTGTGTAGATGAGCCTCTGAAAACTTCAGTGGGGTTATGCTGGAGGTCCATCCCTGGAGCCAACAGGTGGAGTTGGATGTCATGCCAAGAGAAAGGTGGCGTCTGACAAGATGTTTTTGGCTGAAGTTTTGTCTCTGTGGAGATTGAGACAATAAAGCCATCTTATCTCAGATAATTTCAATTAGAAATTTCTGTAGCAGTTACCTACCTTGCAAGGTGAAGGATGGCAGTCTTTCAGACTGTAAATACTCCAGTCTTTCAGAATTTCTTTGATCTAACCTTTAAATTGCATGTGGATTTGCTCTTGCAATTAGTAGGCAGCCAGTAGAGCTTGTATCAGGAGCTGAGAAGTCACAGTCTAATGTCAAGAAGCAAGAAGGGGAAAGGGCTAAACTTGAGTTAGAGTTGGCAGTTTTTCAGACAACCACTTACTGTTTCTCAGGGTATGAAGTTTCTTGGTAATGGAAAATGCTGCATCAATGGAATAATGAATGATGAGCTGAGTTCTGTCAGTTAATCATCAGCACGGGATGGAGTAGTGACATTTCACTGTGCATGAAGAAGGAAGATAATTTTGAAACCAGTCTTCCTAGTAAGAGAATGTGGCCTGTTAAATAGGAGTAGTTGTTGACAATATTACTGGTCTGTCCTCCTGTGCAAGATCACTTTGAGAAGTTAGCATCATTTAATGACTATTCTTGTGGGAAACTGCTGGCAAATCATGAATACCAGAGGTTAGATTCCTTTCCTAAAGGTGTCAGCAAGTCCCTCTTTTCTGTGACTTTTTCCTCTTAATCTTTGCTAAGCCTGTGGTTAGAGTCCCTGGGGAAGAAGCTCCAGACAGACCTTTGATTCAGCAGATGAAATTCATAAATGCTGAAATTAAGTGGGAGGAAGTACTAAGTGGAGTTCTGAAAATTTTTGTTTGCCTGCCAAGTTCCTAGAGAGAGACTCTACAAGAATGTTTATATTCAAATGAGTCAGTGAACCTGTTTAAATATTTAGGATTACATGGTTATAGACTGCTAATAGAACTTGGCTATTACAACTAGTCTGTGTGTTCCCTAGCTCAGTCTTACCTGACCTTAGAAATACATGTGCCTTACCCAAAGACCGGCCACAGTTGGACCAAAACCAGGATCAGAACTTTCAGATTCCAAGACCTGAACTCAGACTGCCAGAATATGCTGTCCAGATTCTTAATCATACATCTGATCTGAAAATCTGTTGATAATGCACATCATAGAAATTACTCAAGTAATTTACAAGGTTGGCAGTATTTTCTGAAGCAGAGTGACTATTCTAACAATTCTCAGAAAACCTGAAAAGACCCAAATATTTTTCCAACATTAGTTTTCAGAATGAAACTGTAAGAAGAGCATTTGAAGGTTTAAGCCAGAAATAGAAAGCTCCAGCCAATGTGCCTTTCTTTTTCTTTTCCTGAAAGAATTGTCTTTACAAATTACATTAGCAAGGTTCTAAATTTATTTTTACTGCAACAAAAAGACATTGGAATATTGTGTTTAATGAAACTTCTTCCCTTCCAATCACAGTATGGTTAATTTTACTTGTTAAAAAAAATGTTTTGCCCAAGCAATATTATTTTAGGTAAGAATACAGAAGAACAAAGTCTAACTGATCACTTTACAGTTGAATACAAAACCAAAATTGAGTGAGATCTGTGTTTATTGTTCTCTCAGCCCACAGAAGCAACTAGTTCTGACTTAATCTGAGGCATGTATAGGTCCATAAAATATTGTTGCAGCAATATGATATGGTGATTTTAACCACAGTGTTCTCTCTGCAGGGGGACACAAGCACAAATCCATATGGAGGATGAGTCTCCTTCTTCTCGAGGAATCAGTGCCAAGGTCAGAGTGTGGTTTCTTTGTATGGAGAATTCTGTAGTGCTCTATTCAAAAAAAAGAAGCCTGGTTCCATTTGGCAGTAGCTTAGTACATGCTAGTAGCTTTCAAAATAAACAGAAAACCAAAGCTATAGGTAGAAAAAATATACTAGCAAAGAAAATGTTGCTTATGCGATCCGCATAATATTAGAACAACAACATATTCATTTTAATTGGATTGAATTGCTCCTTTGGCTTATAAGGCTGGTTTAATTTAGTATTAAGCTGTAAATTTAGATGTTGCAGTCTAATGTTCAACAACATAAACTTGTTAGAATTAACTGTAGTAGCATAATTTGAGGCAAGAGCTTCCTCTCATTTTTCTCTTTTCTTTGAACACTTTGCATGTAAAACTTAATGAAACCATTCAGATTTTAAGCTTAATGATGATGCCTTTTAAGGGTCATCTGTATGACAAATAAAACTGAATGACTAGCTTTCAAACTGATGGCTGAGGTCAAATGAAGTGAAGAAGTTTCATGATTTATAACTGACACACATGTTGGGTAGCTGGACCAGATGAAATCTCAAATTCTGGTCTCTGCCTTTAATGACTGTGCAATATAATGAGGAAACTGATCACTTATGGGACATAAATACTGGCAGGCTGAGAGGCCAACCTTTTTTTTTTTTTTTTTTTTTTTTAATGGTTTTGGGACAAAATATAATGGAGAAGTGTAAGAGGATAAAATCTTGAAAGGTGAGCTAGTACCTCTGACGGAGTTGAATGTAACTAATAATGCCAGATATTGAATGTAAGTTATGGATATTTTTTAGTCTGCTGAAGTTTGAGGTTATTTTTTTAATTTTTAAAAACAAAAATTAAAATCCTTGGTTGCTTTTTATAATGTTAGCTCATTTTTTTCATTCAGTGTATTCTTTTAGTATTGAGAAGTGCTACAGTTTGTTTGTAGGGTTTTTTTTTAACCTGTTAATTACAAGAGTAGAACATGAATGCTTTCTAGAAAGAGGTAACAGAAAAAACCTTTTCTGTTCAAGATGAATGGGTTCTGACCCACTGTGCACTTGGAATTTAAAGCCCACATTTTAGAACCAGTATGTTATTCCACTAAGGGAATCTGTACAACTGAAGGACACCCTGACTGTCCTTTTGAACCTCAGGCTTCATGAGACTTGAGGAAAATTGGGATGCAATTTAGTTGATGCAATGGGAAGAGTAGTCTGTGATGCTTTCAGTATGCATTATCATATTTTAGAAGTGCCTAAGATCCTCCATAAAATTCATGCTAACATATTGACATAAAAGAAATTGTTCTGCAAACACCAGATGAATGAAGCCTGATTGCATATGGATTCATGTCCTTTGTCTCTTATAACCCTGCTATGTGTTATGGGTATACAGCATGTGCTAGGACTAGCTTTGACCTACTTGCTTCCTGACATATTTCATAACATACGTGTCTGATTGTCCAGCTGCCTACTGCCAAATGGATTGTGTCAGCGGAATCTTACTTCCCTTTCGCTTGCAAATTTGGCTGAAATTGGTCAGTTACTTGGTATGTGGATGATGGGGAAAGAACTGGTGTGATCAAAACCACAACTTGTCTTTAGTGATGACCAACCCTCCTTTCTCTTCCTCAGAAGTATATATAAAGAAATGTGTAATAGATTAACTGCTATTTGTGAAAAGATTTTAATTCAGGATTACTTTAGGGTTTATTTCTGTATTTTCAAATGTTATCTATTATTTTTTCATAGTAATTGGTACTAATCAAAAAAGCAATATTCTTATTACTGACGTAACATGCTTCAGACTCCAAGCTAAAATTTATTCACATCTTTGTTTCAGAGGTAGAAAAAATTACATGCTGTAGCAGATCATTATTTTCACTCTGATACTTGCTAGAAATAAACTAATGATGCAATCCTCACTGTTAAACAGTGAACTGTGTAATGCCTGTGATAGGCAGAATCTATTCTTACTTACTGTCCTGCACTATCTTCTGACCTGGCAAGTAATGCTGCTATTTCCTTTTTTCACGTTCAGAGCCTGGTTTAATTTCAGTAAAGAAAATTGGATGTGTGCTCCATGCAAATATTGCTATTAAATTTTGATACTGCAACATTTTTCTGATTTATGCTATACTAAAGCAGTAGAAATGTTGCATGAGATTCAGACATTAGCTTGACTAGTTTTAATAACTGAAGAGACCCATTATTCTTTTCCTTTAATTATAAACTTGTCATTGGTCCTTGGATAAGCTGGGAAATGTCTAATTATCTTTTTTCTCTTATTACATGTCTACTTACATAAAATGCAGATATTCTTAGGAAGTTCCCAAAGATTCAATAGTTGTTGAAATGCAGTTTCAAAAGTAAGGGAGAAAGGAAACATTTTCTCAAGTTTCCATTTTCAATGTGTGGAAAAAAGTGTATATTTTTCAAAAATAAGTATATTCTTGGGAAGACTTTTTTATGATTTCTTCTTTTAACAGTAATTTTAGCACCTGAGGAAGAAGACACACGTTAATTTAAAGTTTTCAATGTGTACTTTACACTCGATATTAGAATCCTGTACATTGAATTCTATAAGCTATCAGTTGTGTTGTATGAATATAGTGAAAATATGACCTCATCATTTAACTTTTTATATGGTACTTTTCTTCATGCGTATAGATCCTTTCTTTCTGGATCACAATATATTGTGTTTGTTTATTTTAATGGATTCCCTCTATGTATAGTTCTAGAATTAAAATACTGGTTTGTGGTTGAAAAAGGGAATGGTGTTTCTCTTTTTTTCCTTCTTGGGTTTTTTTTTTAATTTTTATTGTGCAAACGTATACGTTTATCTCTGATAGGTATTTGATGTAATTTTTTATAATATCAGGTCTTGGAAGCAACATTATTGTCAGCCCTGAAGATGCTGGATGTTGGGAAGTGGCCAATTTTTTCTCTCTGTTCTCAAGAAGAGCTCAAGTTAATTCGTCAAGCCTGTGTATTTGGCAGTGCTGGTAATGAAGTGTTGTATGCAACTGAAAATAATGAGGTAATCATCCAAGAGTATATATGAACATGACATACTTAGTTATGCATAATGTTACTCTGAAAGCCGGTACTAGGATAGTATAACTGGAAAAAGTTGCACGCAAAAGTTTTGATTGCTAGTAAAACATTTTCAATTCAAATTAATGGCTTCCTACCACAATCAGATGATAAAGAAAAGATGGCGTCAGATGCTTCTTGAAGGTGCATAGTGACAGGGTGAGAGGCAGTGGAAAAAAGAATTCACCATGTGAGTGGTTAAATCCTAGCGGGATTGTGAGATCTTTTCCTTGGAGACATGATTGACTGGACATAGTCTTGAGTCATCTGATCTATTTAAACCTTTGTTGAGCAAGGAGTTGGACTAGATGTCCTTTGGAGGACATCCTCCATTTCAACCTAAATTATGATTCTGTGATTCTTTTATAACAGGTTTTTGTGCTTGGCATGAACTGCAGTGGGTGTTTGGGAACAGGTGACATGCAGAGCACTATTGAACCAAGGAGGTTAGATTCTCTGTGTGGCAAAAAGATAGCCTGTCTGAGTTATGGAAGTGGCCCTCATGTAGTTCTTGCTACAGAAGGTAAAGTATGATCCGAATATATATTTCTGTATTTCAGATAGTCCACTTTAATTAGTCCAGTAGATGGGGAAGGACTGTGCTGGTAACATAAGAGAGAGAATTAGGATAGACATTCCAGGCAGTCAAGTCCAACATATTTACACTTTGGAGTTAAGTTTGGAACTTCTGATTGCTTTTGAAATGTATTAGTGGCTACATTATACCCTTATGTGCCAACAGTGTCCTTTAGCTAGAATGCATCCTTTCCCTCCTGTATCTACTTTTGGATGTGAGACCAGTAATATTGCCTCTGAACCTTTAGTTTTGTGTTGTCTCATTGACACTATTATCCACATCATGCTGGTGGTCCTTCTGTTCATAATTAAGTACATTATTCTGGAAGACAGAGAACTAACGTGTTCCCAGTGAGGTTCTATAGGAGCCTCACTGATGATGATAACATTCGTCTCTCTCTGTTAATGAGAAGAAATCTTCTTTGAGTAGTCCAGATTAGATGACCAAAGCTAGGTGAGGGGAATTGTGTTGTACATGTGTGACTGTTCTTTATATTCAATTACATTCCACTATTTTTTGCAGTCTTAAGAGTAGACCATTCTGGATGCTTTTATAGATGTATCTGTATTCTGAACTTTCTTGCTGGCTGAGACACTCATAGTCCTTACCCAGATGATGAAGTATTGCAAAAAAACACATCCAGAACTGATACTTGATGATTTTTACTTGTAACTCCATCCCATGAATAACTTCGATTCAGCCTCTTTTAACCTACCTTTTAGACAGCCATTACGTATTTTACAATCCTTATGTTAACTACTTGTGTTAATAAATCTCCAGTTTATGTTGTATGTTTCTGTGTGGCTGTTTCACCTGTTTACTGTAATTTGTATTCTCATGTTGGTGAAAGGAAGAGAAGGTTGTTTGCTTTTGACAGGACAAAGTAACTAGATTTAACCTGTTATTGCAAAGAAATACTGGTTTAGTATAGCACATTTTGCCTTTGTAGTGGGGAACCCTAGTAGGTGATACTGTCCTATTAGATTTGTGGTCAACACTATGTGAAGGTAGTATTGGTATGTCCGTGGGATTAAGAGCCCCAGAGGGCATATATATACATACACAGATATTTATACACACACTGTTAAATATGCATATCATTATTGAATTCGACTTTTCAGTTTGTAATTTTATGTTGTGCATGCATTGGAAAAACAGATTTTAAAACATCTTTTTACATTTTTATTATAGAAGGAGAAGTGTATACATGGGGTCATAATGCTTATAGTCAGTTGGGCAATGGTACAACAAATCATGGTTTCATTCCCTGTCAAGTCTCTACTAACTTGGTGAACAAGAAAGTCATTGAAGTTGCCTGTGGCTCTCATCATTCTATGGTGTTAACATCTGATGGAGAGGTGAGAATAGCTGGAATAAATCTTTCTCTTCTCTTATTGAAATTCACATATGTGAGAAACAGGAAAATATTCTGCACTTAGAGCATTAGACCTTGCTTCTTGCTACCGTCACAGTGCTAATGCATTGCTAATGCACCACGAAGGTTTGATAAAAATAGAAAACCTGTTAGGGTCTAGCTGCTTTAAGTGCATGCAGAACATTGATTTTTATGCCACATCTGCTTATAATAACAAATTATAATGTGTTTGTAGAGGGCAGCCAGTTCCTTCCTATGCTATACTCAACAGTAAATGCTTAGTGGAGTTAAAGCTGACATTAGTATAAATCACATTCATGTAATCATGTAAGGAGTTCTACCCACCAAAGTAAAAAGTTTTCTGTTTACTTTGAGATGCCATTTGTGTCCAGTTAGCCATTTTTCTTTGGGTTCTGGAAAACTAGCAGTGAATTTTTCCAGTCTTAAATCAACTGTCATGTTGCCTCTTACCTTTGGTTGGAGGAACATAATAGAATATATGAATATTATGAGTGGCATATTTTTGATAGAAACAAGTAGATTGTAAACCTGTGTATCTTCCTAGATCTTTAAAAGAATACATCCACTTGAACTCAAAATGTTGGGGTTTTTTTATGCATATAACTTTTCTCTCTTGAATATATGCTTTGAACTGTATGTTATATAGTCTTTTATGACAATTCTCTTACAACAGGTATACACATGGGGTTACAATAACTCAGGCCAAGTTGGATCAGGTTCAACAGCTAATCAGCCAATTCCTCGAAGAGTTACCAGCTGCCTACAAAACAAAATAGTAGTTAATATAGCTTGTGGACAGATGTGCTCTATGGCTGTGGTGGAAAATGGAGAGGTAAGAAATTTTAAGTGAACTTTCTGACTGAATTTTGTATGATGTAATATCATGGGATTAGATCATTTCATTAATAAGCTACTACTCTAGAAAAGAAGTGTACCTTTCCAGACTCCCTCAAATCTACCTCTTTAAACTGATTGTAAAAACCTTTGTCATAGATTGTCCTGCACGTTCTGGCATACTTCAGCACGCTTTCCTATCCATGCTGATTATGGTTTTTCCTTTAGAAAGGAGGTAGAGCAAATAAGGAAAATTGTTCACTAATGTTTAATTTACGGCTTTTTGGTGTGTGAGATTACTCATAAAATTTAGCAGCTGTTACTTTGTATCAGCATTCAAAGTTGGCTTTGAGTGGAAGGAATTCAAGTATCAAATTTAAAAATAGCATTGTGGAGGTGAGGAGACTTTTACAAATTTTGGGATTAAAACATACTGAATCTATATATTTGTATACTTAGCATTTCATGATAGCTTCATTTTCTCATATGAAAAATAACTAAGTTTGTGTCACTGATTTACTGATTTTTAGAGCTGGTATTTTCTAGCAAAAAATGAAAGTGATAATTAATATGTTATCCCACTGCTGCCTGCTGCATTCATAGAAAAAAAAATTATTTTCAATACTAAAATCTTGAGTACCAAGAATGTGAGAATAATCAGTGAATGCTATTTTAATTTTCAGTGCTCATATATGCACAGTTTGTCTCCAAGAAAACAGAATAAAAGTTCATTTCATACATTGCAGTACCCTTTGAATCCCTCTTATGCATTTTACCCACATTGCAAAGATTGTTGTTGTAGTGTTCTTGTTTTACTCTATATGAGCTGAAGATTTGAGGCCATCTATATCCTCTCTAGCTCCTTCGCTCAAAGCATTTCAGTTTATACCGAAGTAGCTATTGACTGTTTGCAATAGAACATATGTCACTGAAATTATCAGAGCTCAGTATTTTCCTTTATTGTTATGTTCAGCATAAAGCTAATAACAGCCCACTCAAACTGTTTTGTATAGCTCCCAGTTTATATTTGGTTTAGTGTGTTTTATTTTCTTTTAGAGGATTTTTGAATGAGAATTTAGCTCTTTGAAAAAGGGAAGTATTTGTGCTGAATTTGCTCTGTGCTGGGAAACACCCATATGAATCACTTATTTTCTGCTCTTCATATTAAAATATTGTAGTCTTACATAATCTATAATCTTAAAAATCTTAAAAAGCAACATGAAAATGGAAGTTTAGAATTTTAAATGAGCATGCAGATGGTATTTTAAACAGAAACACCATCCAAAATTTGTGGTGCAGAATCATAGAATCATAGAATGGTTTGGGTTGGAAAGGACCTTAAGATCATCTAGTTCCAACCCCCCTGCCATGAGCAGGGACACCACACACTAAACTATGTCGCCCAAGGCTCTGTCCAGCCTGGCCTTGAACACCTCCAGGGTTGGAGCATTCACAACTTCCTTGGGCAACCTATTCCAGTGCCTCAGCACCCTCACTGTGAAGAACTTCTTCCTTAGATCTAACCTAAAGTTCCCCTGTTTAAGTTTAAAGCCATTACCCCTTGTCCTACCACTAGAGTCCCTAATGAAGAGTCCCTCCCCAGCATCCTTGTAGGCCCCCTTCAGATCCTGGAAGGCTGCTATAAGGTCTCCACGCAGCCTTCTCTTCTCCAGGCTGAACAGCGCCAACTTTCTCAGATTATGTCTTCATAAGGGAGGTGCTCCAGCCCCCTGATCATCCTAACATAGACGTGTGTGTATATATGTACATTTATTTAGGTATTTATATGTGTGTGTGTTTGTGTGTATCTACATATAAAGTACAGATCCTAAGGTGTGGGGACAGGAAATATTGAAGAAAATTATTACTGTAACTCTGAAGCAGTTACACTGCTTTCAAGAGAAGTAGATAGTAGCAAACAGTTGAAGTCCCTGTCTCTGTTTTTAAGGTCTATGTCTGGGGTTACAATGGTAATGGCCAGCTTGGACTGGGCAGTGGTGGCAATCAGCCGACACCATGCCGAATAGCAGCTTTGCAAGACGTTCGTGTAAAGCGGGTATGTGTGTGACACTCCATATCAAACCCTTTGGGAACAATTGAAAATATGCTAAGACATGCTATGTTTAAAGGAGATAGTCCTTTGTCTCTTTGTTTGAAGCACTGTTTATAAGAATAAGAACATGTATCTTAAAATGGAACTCTGTCAGTAAGGAAGAAAGTGGGATCCTGTGGAGTTCAGTGGGAATTTTGCCATTACTCTCAGTGAGGCCAGGATTTTACTTAGAGGCCATTAGAAATTGTGTGCTTTTTTTTATTTTTAATGTAAAACTTAATTTAAAAAAACCCAAACAACCTGTTATTTCAGTAAATAAGAAAGTCTTCTTAGGCTACCCTGTTCTTCATTATACCCTTCTTTTTTGGGATGATGCTGCAGTTGAGCGTTTTCTGTATTTGTAGCTTTTGTAATTTTTACACAGGTATAGAATCTATTGATGTGTATCATAACATGTATCTATCTGTATTAACTTACTGTAACATAAAAATAAGATTTTTATTTTTATTTTTCTTTACAGGTTGCCTGTGGCTATGCACATACATTAGTACTAACAGATGAAGGTCAGATTTATGCCTGGGGAGCCAATTCATATGGTCAGTTAGGTACTGGGAATAAAAGTAACCAGTCTTACCCTACAACAGTTGCTGTGGATAAAGACAGGTAATACTAATAGTTGTGCAGTCAGATACCAGTTGGTATGCTCTCAGAAGAGCTACAGAAAATTATGTCATTTTTAATGTATTTTTTTTTAAATAACCTATAATGTTTTACAATGGTGGTTCTGCTAAATGTGAACAGAATTTTCACTGAAAGTGCTTGAATCTGCCCCATAACCATCCTTGTGAAAGAGAAACTTAATGTTCTGAGACTGAGTGTGCTATTTTCTGCTTCGGCTCATACTGTACTTCATAGGCCTTAATTGCAGTTTCTCTTCAGTGGTGTGGTTTCATTGTTTGAAGTCAGCAATAAAGGCTTTATTGTCTCTGAATAAAAATTGTATTTTAATATGCTACTTTTGACAAGAAGTGCGCACAGAAAAACTGAAGAGCAGACATCTGCAGTTAGTGTTATTTCTGCTATTAAATCTGGCTCATAACCCAAGACTGAGAGAAAGGGAGGAGCTCTTTCTTTGTACTGTTGCTTGAAAATCATGCTTAGATTTTTACAAGCTTTTTTTTTAGAGAGCAGACTTTGGCCTCTTCAGGAA